AATGTCTATGGTTCACAGCAACCACTTACCATCAGGTGGACTGAGTGCTCGTTTGTTACCCCCTCCTATAAAAAAACCATCTTTTAAAAAATAATTGTCTTTGGCCTGACCTACTATACTCTTTGTCTTGACCATAGTTCTGACTAAGCATGTCCAATAAAATGTCAAGGTCTGAGTGGTTAAACTTCTTTTATTTTCAAGAAAACACTACATAAGTTGCAAAATAATTTATTTTGGCAATGTTGACATTCCTGAGCTAAACGGTGTCAAGTTCAGTTGTGATAAAACGTTATTGATCAATAACTGTGGTACACCCTTAGTATATGTTCATACAACAGTACATACAACAGTACTGTTGCGATTGGTTAATGAACTTATTTTGCTTGTTTTACTGCTTAGATCACTAGAATGTGGTCAATCGGAGCTTGTAATAGAGTTGCGTAAAATACCAAATAATGGCTGTAAAACATCTGAAGGTGAAGGCTGGTTAGATCTTCTATTTAGCGTTGACAAAGTGTGCACAAATGTTTCATTTGAACGACGCGTGGTACTTGCAATAGACTCCATTAAACTCCTTTTATTTCCAAGAAAACACTCTACAAGTTGCATAAGAAATTATTTTGGCAACGTTGACATTCCTGAGCTAAACGGTGTCAAGTTTAGTTGTAATAAAACGTTATTGTTATTGATCTTTAACTGTGGTACACCTTCAACATACTCTTCCAACATCCCAAAAAGTTCAGGGCCAACAATATACTTCAAAAATAATACTTAAATCTGTGTAACCTGCCCCTGCAAAACAGGAGCAAATCTAAGTGTGGGGGTAAATTTTTTTTTAAATGAATGTAATTTGTTTTTATTAACATTTTTGAACTCTTTATTTACTCTCAATATTGTTTCACAAAATAAACATACATCCATCAAGTTTTTTGATGGGTAAAGGACATAGTAAAAACTCGCCTAAAAACCAACATATATTTGGCAATTACCAAAATTCTTATGCTTAATTATGTATTAGATAACATTCAATAGATAGTAACGGACACTTCTGAATTGTAAAATCAAAATAAAAAGGACTTTTAGATTTTGAACTTTGTACGTGTTTTTTAATACTAATGTGCTGCGTTTATGGGCTCCTGTGATTTTGCCAATCGCACAATACCTTCACTGACATATATCATAATAAAGTCATATATTATGAAAATGTTTTTTCTTTAAATATACCTCAGATTAATATAAGCCACATGGAACCGGGATACAGTAAAATCATCTGTTTTCATTTCTCTTTCGTGTCTCGCAAAACTTAGCTCCGACCGCATGGACAGTTTCTACGAGCTTGTCATTTATATCGTCCGCTACATTTCAATCTACTAGGCACTGAGAACGATTTTGTAACTCGAGCTGAAAAGTTTCGGGACTATGGACTATAGCGTGAGGGGAGCGGAGCGTTTACTTCATTAGACGACACCTCTCCAATTTAACGTTTAGGTTCAGTGTGTCTCTAACAATTCGGTGATCGCTACCAGTTTTCACCCTCGCGATCATTAAGACATCACTCAACAGTTGTCATCTGGTCGTCATAATAAAGTCAATCTCATATTTTGTCGAACCGTCGGTATTCGACCAGGTCCACTTCCTGTAGTGGCGCTTCTGGAAGAAAGAGTTCATCATAAAGAGTCCCTCTTTCTCCATGAAATCGGCCAGCTGCTGGCCCATTGGGTTCCGTTACTCTATTCCAAATTTCCCCATCTTCAGCTTACCGTTCTCTCTTGTGCCTAGTTTTGCGTTGAAATCTCCCGTTAACACTGTATAATTTCGGATTATGGTTATGGTTTCGGAGGAATGCATGGCTTTAGATACATCTTCATACATTTACTCCACCTCCTCATCGGGATGTGCCGAGGTTGGTGTGTCTAGCTGTATGACCTTCAGCAAATACCGTTTGGTTATTCTGAGTATAAGGTACACAAACCTCATCGACTCACTCTCAATCTTTACAACGTTGTAAACCAGAGACTTGTAGACGATAAATCCGAAACCTCCTTGGGGCAGATGGTCGCCCTCCCGGTGATAGAACAAGTTGCCGGATTCGAGGATTACCGTGTCCTCCCCCTCTTTTCGGACTTCGGATAATCCTATTCTAGCGCAACTTGTCTATCTCTTCTTCCAGCTCAAGCATCTTCTCGTCAGTCCTCAACTTATAACGCATGCACGTTATAAGTTGCCAGGTCGAGTCGTCATAGGTGGCAACCGAACCTCCACCGGAGATCTTTTACACTCCCTGCTCCGCCGTTACCATGATCGCCACCGCAGCCAGGAAAAGCTGGGCCACCGGTGACTGGAGGCCGTCTTTTCGTAACTTTAACCATATTGCCATAGTTGCCACACTTGGTGAGCGGGTTGGCAACCGCAGTTTTTTTATTGCTTTTTGCTGTTATCAAAAAGATGCTACTGTCCATCTTCTGACTCAGTACCCCTCTGTCGCCTTTTACGACACCCACGATAAGAAATAGGGTAGTGGGTATTCTTACCCGCCACTGCTCGGGATTATTAATGTTCAATTAAATATGCGAGTTGCGTGGTTTCACCTTGCCGTTTCAGTTTTTATTATTCTCCACGTCATTTTAATTTTATTGGATGCAGTTTTAATTTTGTTGCTTAAATGTAAAGCCACTTATAATGAACTCTTTTTTCCAGAAGCGGCCACACGGGAAGTGCCGAATCAACAAAAAATGAGATTGACTTCATTATGATGACCAGAGGACAACTCTTCAGTGATGTCTCAGTGATCGCGAGGGTGAAAACCGGCACGGCACCGGTGTAAAAAAACGCAGAAAGTTATTATCAATGGTAAAAGTTTTTCCGGGTTGCCTGTACTAATACGAGTCCCACAGGGCTCAATTATCGGTCCATTCCTATTTCTTGTGTATATTAATGACTTACCTTCCTTTGTAGGGGATAATTATAATATAGTATTATTTGCTGAAAATACTTTCTTGATTTTTAAACTTAAGCGTCAATCATTTCAATGTGACGAAGTGAATAATGCTATATGAAAATTAGTGCATTGGTTTAACGTTAATAATCTACATTTAAACGGAAATAAAACTAAATGTATTAAATTTACAACAACGAATGTTAAAAATGTGTTTTTAAATGGGAAGCAACTGAGCTCTGTTGAATCCACTGTTTTTCTTGGTATCACTCACGACGCAAATCTTAATTAAATAAAGGAGTGCGAATTCAGACAGTCAACAGTGCGAACGTGTCGCTGTGCGTTTTGAAATGCAGGTTTTATGCATAACAAAATAATCCATAAATTAACAGTAACTACCGCTAGTTTGGTTTGCAGCGTGATAAATATCTATTTAACCTAAAAGTGCAATTTCGACGTCTACGTGAGCTGAGAAACGCCCCATTTCACATCGGGTAAATGAGGACGGGCTACGCACATAAAATAATTCATCCTTTTTCGACAAGTCGGTTTTAAGCGACGGCGGGTGGGTCGAGAATTCACGCGTGAGTAATTATTGTAACTTTGCATACGAATAGATTTTATATTTTTACAACTGACTCACAAAGTAGAATATCACAATATTTGTCAATATGGTAAACTGCGCAGCTTGTAATAAAACTATAAGGGGAAACCAACTAATGAAATGCACAAAGTGCGATTACCAATACCATCCTTTGTGTGTTAATATATCCGAGTATCGTAAGACTACAGAGATAACAAGATCAACATGGATATGCCCACAGTGCCGCTGTGCGACGCCAAAAACCGATAACACGAACAAACCCATACGCTCACCCGTCTGCAACGAGGATATCGACAGCTGTAGTCCAGTGGTGGTTGAATCACCCTCTTTGGCAGCAAACTCATGTCAGTTATCTCTGCTGGCTTCGGAAATAAAATTACTTCGCGAAGACGTAGGAGAATTAAAAGCCCACCTCAAGTCACTAACTGATCACTTGATGCAGTGCAATATACGACTAGATGACTATGAAATCAAGTTATCGCGAACAGAGGATATAATCCGCGCGCTTGAAAAAAATGAATCGGAGGTCCTCAGGTTGAATTCTACTATTGAACAGCTTAACCAGGAAATTAATACTCAAGCCCAAATTCACCTAAAGAACGAAGTTGAAATCACGGGCATAACAGAAACCAGCAACGAAAATCCAGTGCACATTATTTTAACAACGGCCGCAAAAATTGGAATCAACCTCGACGCCAACGACTTAGACTACGTAACGCGTGTGGGTTCCCGTCAAAAAGTCAGCGATACAAACGATGACAGTAAGTCACCGACGGACTGGCAACCTCGTCCACTAGTTGCGAGATTTCTACGACGGAATAAGCGGGATGAGTTCCTACTCGCAGGAAAATCTAGACGCAACCTCAATAGTAAGGATGTAGATTTACCTAGCAGCGCAAGAAACATTTACTTCAATGAGCGGCTGACTAAAGAAAATCGGCAGTTATTTCGCATTTCAAGACAGAGAGCCAAGGAATGTGGCTTCGAATTCTGCTGGATCAAAAATGGCGCAGTCAATATTCGTAAACAGGAGGGAAGCCCTCCAATTACGAACCGGAACTCCTCCGACTTATTACGTCACTGCCCGCCTGTTGCACAACCTCAAGCAGACGTTTAGCAATTCACAAGACGTTGTTTACTTTATTATAACTACACCGGCTTTTGCGCATATTTTATATTTTATATTAAATTTAGTTTTAAGTTACCAATTCATTCTTATATTTTACCAATTCTTGTCAATTGATTTACGCAAAAATAGGTATAGGTCAATTTTATACACACACAAAATAAAAAACACACAACCCACTACACTATACACAAGCAGTTACAATGAAATACACACCAACAAAGATTTAAAGTTATTTTCACGAATTAATAACAACATTGCCACTCTTGCAGCTGTAAGCAACTTCAGTAACAGAACAATATTATTTTTTGTCTTAATATTTATTTTAATTAAACATGGATTTACTTAGCATTGCTAATGATATAGATGAATTACTGGCCATAGACTGTCGTAGTATAGACTCTATGGAAAAATGTAAGAGTGTTCTTACTAATGATGAGCATAGTTTAAAAGTTTTGACATTCAATATACGAAGTTATCAACGTAATTTTAACGATTTTAAAATAGCTCTCAAACGTTTGGACCTGGATTTTGATGTCGTTGTATTGACGGAATGTTGGCTGTGTGATGGTATCATTTTTGAACCATTGGAGGGTTACAAAATCTATCAATCCTTATCACAAGTAAACAAATGCAGTGGGATCGTCACTTACGTAAAAAACTCATGGAATAGTGAAATTGCACCTCAGGTACATAAATTGGATGACGCTGATAGTCTCCTCATAAATATAAATAACGACCTTACAGTCCTAGGAATTTACCGCTCTCCTTCCTTCTCAAATACCGATCGATTTATTTCCTCTTTAGACTCTGTACTCTCTGACAATCAACACAAACGAACCCTAGTAATTGCAGGTGACATTAATATTAATATAAATGATCCAATGAGTGCACAAGCAGCCAACTATTTATGCTTGATGGCATCTCATGGTCTATATCCAGCGATATCAAAGCCAACTAGAGGAGCCTCATGCCTTGACCACATCTTCATAAAATCTGAGACAAAATCCTCAGGCCTCGTCTGCAAATCATCTATTACGGATCATGATTTTGCTCTGGCTGAAATTCTTTTGCAAATCCACCGACATACAAGTAAAGTACGCATGATACGAAAAACAGACTGGGAGTCGGTTGCCTCATATATCAACAGTTTGAACTGGAATGAAATAACAAGCGAAAATAATGTTAACACCGCCTCAAACAAATTTTTATGATGCTATTACATACGCAATCAATAAGTACACGCAGGAAGTTAAAGTAGGTCGCAGAAAGAGCAACATAAAATGCTGGATCACCTCTGGATTAATAAGATGCATGAAACACCGGGACAAATTGCACCTTGAGTATAGAGCTGATCCAAATAACCAACGTAAATTATTGGTCTACACGCGGTACAGAAACTTTTTTCACACTCTACTACGGAATATTAAAGCTGAACATAACAGAAAGGAAATTACTGAAAACAAAGACAATGCACGTGGTCTTTGGAATAAAATTAAAAGCCTATGCTATAATTCTACGTCAGAGTCCCACCCCACAAAACTTATCAAGGATCTGAACAACCCAACTTCATCTTTAGACCAATGTAATCACCATTTCGAAACAGTAGGGGAGGTCTACGCTGAAAAAATTTTAAGTAACTTAGGCACATCTCAAGACCAACTTATCAAGAATCACAGATGTTCAAAATCTAACCCAAATTCTTTCTATCTGCATCCTACTGACGAACAAGAAGTGAGCCGAATCATTCACAACCTAAAAGCCAACAGTTCCCCAGGATTAGACCATGTCACTGTTACGCTGCTTAAAAAGTGCTGCAGTAATGTTATTATTCCTCTCGTTCACATATTTAATTTAAGCCTAGAAAAGGGAGTTTTTCCAGAATCCTGGAAAACTGCAGCAGTGTCACCTATTTTCAAAAATGGCTCTCCAACCTTGCCGGAAAACTACAGACCAATCTCTTTACTTAGCATCATATCGAAAATTCTAGAGAAGATAGTGAATAGGCAACTTGTCCGTTTTCTACATAAAAATCGGATTATCTCGGATAAGCAATATGGTTTTCGACAGGGAAAATCGACCGACGACGCTGTAGCAGCACTAGCTGACCAGATATCACAACACGTGGAGAGTGGGAAATGTTGCATAGGTGTTTTTCTCGACCTATCGCGAGCTTTTGACACTGTCTCTGTTGGCCTCCTATTGAAAAAGCTAGAAGTCGCTGGAGTAAGAGGAAATACACTTCAATGGTTTGAAACTTACCTTAAAATGCGAAAGCAGTGCGTAAAAGTAGGAAAACACACTAGTAGGCAACTGCATGTTAATTTTGGTGTTCCCCAGGGCAGTACCCTTGGACCTACTCTCTTCCCTTTGTACTTGAACGATATCCTCGAACAAAAATTGCCTAATTCAAATGTAATCGCTTACGCAGATGATACAACCATATTGTTTCACGATACGACATGGAGTCGAGTATACAGTACCGCGGAACAAGGCCTATCTCGGATTGCCATGTCCTTAAATGTAAATCTACTTACACTAAATCAGAAAAAGACTACATACATATGCTTTTCTAAATCTAGACGAACGAGTCCTCCGATTGCTATTCCTTTAACAATTCATTACTGCAGGAATGATTATACCTATCTGCATGCCTGTAACTGTGAACCGATTGCGCGCTCTAAAATGACCAAATATCTTGGAGTTATCATAGATGAAAACCTAACGTTTGATGCCCATATTTCAAATCTGTCTTCCCGTGTGCGAAAGTTCATTTTCATTATGAAAAAACTGCGAGTTTGTACTCCTGTGGATATAATACGTCAGGTGTACTTTGCACTATGCCAATCTATACTGCAGTATTGCATTTGTGTTTGGGGCCGCGCTGGGAGGACTGCATTTATGACATTGGAAAGGGCTCAACGTGCATTAATTAAAGTAATATTGAATAAACCATTCACATACCCTACCAACTCCCTGTATGAAGAATTTAAAGTACTACGGGTACGACAGCTGTTTATTTACAATGCCACACTCAAAGTGCACAAAACTTTAAGATCTCGCCCGGATTACAATGATTTAAGAAGCAAACGAACCTTTGGAATCCCCGTTCCAATCGTAAAGTCAGACCTAGCTAAAGTTGTCCCACCTTCACTCATCCCTTCATTTACAATAGAATATTAAAAATAATTGACCTTAGAGACCGCTCCTTTTCCTCATGTAAAACCTTACTAAAGAACATGCTCTATACTCTAACATATACCCCTACAACAGCTACTTACAATAACTTGGACTCTGTTTGTTTGTCATCCTTACTTCTGTAAAAATATGGGTAAGATTTCCACACTTCATCGAAACGTCTCATGTCTCTTTAATAGTTTTTAAGCATTATGGCAAAACAATAGTCATTCATCAATGTTAGATCACGTAAGAACAATGAGAAAGACTTCTTTTTTAATAGAAGAGTTAGCAAAACTTCACGAGGCTCACCTGATAGTAAGGGTCGACCGCCGCCCATGAACTACTGCAACATCAAGGAAATGTCAGCCTTTAAAAAAGGAGTAAATTCGTTTCTTGAAGGTCGTTTCTTGAAGTAGTATCGGTCCGGTAATTGCCGGTAGAATAGAATAGAATAGAATAGAATAGAATAGAATAGAATAGAATTGAATAGAATAGAATAGAATAGAATAGAATAGAATATATTTTTATTCAATATACATTACATGTGTAATTCTTATTGAAAGTCATTTTTTACTTTACCACTGGTTCGAAAAAAACCTCTGTCCTGGGAAGAACCAGCAAGAAACCCAGCGGGACTTTTTTTTTAAATAAATTTTACAATATAAATGATTAGGAACTATTTACAAAATTTATTTTAGAAACTGCTTGGAAGCGATCACCTCATTCCCAGGGGTTATTATCAACCATGTATTCATTTATACTATAATAACCCTTTTTATACAGTTTCAGCTTAATAAAACATTTAAACTTGGTAATAGAGAGAACCTGTACACTTTCCGGGACCTTGTTGTAATAGCGTATACATTGCCCCAAGAATGAATTACTGACTCTGTGGAGACGAGAAACTGGTATCACTAGCTTGTGTTTGTTCCTAGTGTTTACAGAATGTATATCACTTCTTTTACTAAAACTATCTTTGTTTTTGTGAACATACATTAAATTTTCGTAAATATACTGAGAGGCCAAAGTTAATATATTAATTTCTTTAAATTTATCTCTAAGAGACTCTCTCGGTTTTAGATTGTAAATAGCTCTAATGGCCCTCTTCTGTAAAACAAAAATAGTTTCTGAATCAGCCGCATTTCCCCATAGCAAAATCCCATAAGACATTATGCTATGAAAATAACTAAAATAAACTAATCTAGCTGTCTCGACACTAGTGAGACCTCTAATCTTTTTTACAGCATAGGCTGCAGAACTTAGTCTGCATGCTAATTTGGATATATGGGGGCCCCACTGGAGCTTTGCGTCAAGAGTGATGCCAAGAAAAACAGTGGATACAACAGGGCTCAATTCCTCCCCATTTAAAAACACATTGGTATTCAGATTTTGAACATTCGTTGTTGTAAATTTAACACAATTAGTTTTATTTCCGTTCAAATGCAGATTATTAACGTTAAACCAATGCACTAATTTTGATATAGCATTATTCACTTCGTCACATTTAAATGATTGACGTTTAAGTTTAAAAATCAAGGAAGTATCATCAGCAAATAATACTATATCATGACTATCCCCTACAAGGTGAGGTAAGTCATTAATATACACCAGAAACAGGAATGGGCCGAGAATCGAGCCCTGAGGTACACCCATTAGTACAGGTGACCCGGAAGAACTTTTACCATTGATAATAACCTTCTGTTTTCTATTACTTAAATATGAAATAATAAGTTTAAGCGCTGTGTTCTTGACACCATAGTACTGTAGCTTCCTGATTAATGTCTCATGGTGAACACAGTCGAAGGCCTTGGAAAGGTCACAAAATATACCCAAAGCATCCTCTGAATTCTCCCATGCACAAAAAATATGTTTAATAAGCTCAACTCCAGCGTCAGTTGTCGAGCGACCCCTTGTAAAACCGAATTGATTATTATGTAGCAATTTATTAATATTAAAGAAACTTAACATCTGATCTAAAATAATTTTTTCAAAAATTTTACTTAATGTTGGTAGTACAGAAATTGGTCTAAAATTGGCGGGGTCTAATGTACTACCAGATTTAAATATAGGTATGACTTTACTATGTTTCATTAAATCAGGAAACACACCAGATTCGACGCTTATATTAAATATAGTGGCTAGATAAGGTGCTAATGTATCTATTATAGATAAAATAACTTTAACGGAAATCCCCCATAAGTCTGCCGTTTTCTTAACATCAATAGTTTTAAAATATTTAACGATATCTTTTGGCAGTACCCTATAGAATTTAAAAGTATTTGAACAAGCCTTTACATTTTGTTTGAGCAATGATTCGGCGACAGTAGGAGAAGAATATAATGATTTTGTTGTCAAAAAAGGAACATCAGTAAAATGTTTCTCAAAAGCCATAGCAACTTCTTTATCAGATCGGGTTAAATTATTGTTAATATTCAATAGAAAATCCGAGTTGCGCGGTTTGACCTTGCCCGTTTCACTATTTATTATTCTCCAGGTCATTTTAATTTTGTCGGATGCAGTTTTAATTTTGTTGCTTAAATGTAAAGCCTTAGCAGTGGAGCACACTTTTTTAAATATTTTAGAATATGTTTTTACATAATCTCTAAATATAACACTACTATTATATGATCTTTCATCATAAAGCTCGTATAACCTTCGCCTACTTTTATAAATTCCTACTGTCGCCCATTCATTAAATGATTTGCGACTGTTAAAAGAGAAAGTTTTAGAAGTAAATATTCTACTAAATTCACAACGTATAATTTCAAATAATGTAGCATACAAATAATTAGCACTATTTTTAAACGAAAGTGATGGAAGTCTTTTTATTATATTACTTCTAAACCTCTCCAAGCGATGTTCATTTATTGGAACAAACACAACTTTCTTATTTTTGAGGTGATAAACGACTCCACAAAGGAGTATTTTTTAAAACTTCTAGCAAATTAAATGAATCTAATTAAGAAAAACACGCAACAAAACTGCCGATACCATCCACACCTTCTGAATACTTGGCAGTCCACCTCTGTGCGAT